GTGCTGGCAGTGGTTTGGCTGCGTGTGGAAGCGAGCGGTTCTTGTAAAGGCCATGAAGAAGAGCTGGGGAAGTCCTACCTCCATTGCCAACTCCTACCATGCACTTAGCATCTGCCCACCCTGCAGAGATACCTGCTCCTTGGCAGTCCCTCGAGGCTGGAGAGGAGTGCCAGAGCATCCCTGCCAGTTGCTTCTTTGCAGGTTTGAGGAGGCCCTGCAGGAAGCCCGGCAGGTAGATAAGCTGCTTTCGGAGAGCCCTGGCAATGACTACCTGGAGGAGAAGTTCCCCTTGTTAGGGGTTCCCATCACCGTCAAGGAGGCCTTTTCTGTGCACGGTGCGTTTGCCCTTGCTTCTGTCCAGCTTCACAGGTCATGACTCGCTCCCTCTCGGCCACGTGCTCCCCAGGGTGGTGGGTGGCTGTGGCAGGGCGCTTGGAGGGAAGCAGCTTCCCTTTCCCCACTCTGCACCCCTGGGCAGAGTGTCTGTGTGTCTGTGTTCACTTTTAGCACCCAAACGCTGTGGAGATTGTGGTGCCTCAGAGGAGCAGCCCTTGCTGGGGACCTGCTTCTCACAGATGTGGTTCCTGTGACCGGCCTTGCAGCCTCCTGCCCCCAGGGCGATCTCAGGGGAGCTGACCCTGACACCTCCCTCCATCTGTCGACCCTGGCACTGCAGGGATGCCCAACACGTCTGGCTTGGTCAACCGCCGCAATGTGATTGCCACCTCGGATGCCACGGTGGTGTCCCGGCTGAAGCAGGCCGGTGCCATCCCACTGGGTGTGACCAACTGCAGCGAGCTGTGCATGTGGTACGAGTCCAGCAACAGGGTCTATGGCAGGACCAACAACCCCTATGATCTGCAGAGGATCGTGGGCGGCAGCTCAGGTGAGCCCCGGCATCTCAGCATGGTCCTGCACGAACAGCAGGTTAAAATGCAGCAAGGAAGGAGTTCCCAAGTCCTCTGCACATTGCTTTAACTTTGTTGCTGGGCTCCTGCGGAGCTCACGGGCCGCTTTCCTGGGCAGTGCAGTAGGCCATTTGGAGGTACGACTGCTTTGCACCTCCTGGATGTTACACCCAGCATCGCTTCGGCTCACTGTCTTACTCTACATGCACACAGCA